AAAAGCCCTCATAGTTTTTATAACAACTTTATTCATGACTCGAGGATTCTGTGACGAAACCGATAATCCTTACCGTCCACGCTCGCCCCTCCTCCAGCTATGAATAGAAGTGACATACGTAGCGCGTTCAAAAGTTTGGTCAACGCTAAGATTATTTGCTTTTCTAGCCTCTCTGTCACTGAGCAGAAAAAAAATAATAGAAAGGGTCATAGTCTCACAGGAAAACTGGACACGGGCAAAACACTTGGCCTAGCTTGAGCCCAGATATCGTGCCTCTCGGGCTTGCTGGCTTGCTTATGGCCCATGTGTAGAAATCGGGAGCACTGGGTTCCTGGTTAGAGTTCTGGCTCGAGCCATCCGTTTTGCGAGGGGTACCAGTCAGTCTGAATTCGGCCTCGTCCAAGGGAGACACGATAGAAAAGATACACGGTACACATGGAATAGAAGATCGTCTTAAGGGAGAGGATAGGGATGTTGGCGCAGTTAGTTTCGGTGGGGACATCGTAAGTCATTCAGCTAAGTTTGTACAGGCTACTTTGTGAGAACCTGTAAATTCTTGTGACTAAAGTTGCTCACTTGAACGAATTCGCAGCTTCACAAGAGTTCACAGGTCTCGCCAAAGTGAGACCTGTAAGTTAACATGGACCAACAAAAGGACCTAGTAAAAGCGCTAGATGCCCCTTCCAAGTCAAACCGCGCCCAGGTAGAGTTTTTTCCTGTCATTTTGAACAATCACGGATGGCTTGACCAGTCAGACCACAGCTGATGGGGCTTGACGAGGGATCAGTGCAAAAAAAATCCTCTTCAGTTCCTGAAGTAAATGCGAAAATTCCCATGGCCATATTGCAGAGTAAACGCTCTTAGAGGAATGGTACACTAGCCGGTTATTCGAAGGGGTTCAAAAGAATGTTCAACAACAAGAGAACCTCAGAGTCAAAGAAAGTACAGTTCTATAGAAAGACTAGAATGGTTCTAGAAAAGTATATGAAATCGGCTAATACCTGCAAACAGGATGGTCAACGCGAAGAGCCGGTGCATTCGATTGTGTACGGGACGTGTGCTGAGTGTTTGAGGTATCAGGGGGATGGTGGGCGGCCGCTTAGGGTTCACCGCCACCCGTGTGCGACTCTTTTGGGGTTAAGAGAAGAGAGCTGGCTGATGGAGAGGCGCGGACGACATCGTATTTGTTCTTGTCCAAATCGGCCTCCACCAACTCCTCGATGCACTCTCTCTCCCCGTCGTCGCTTTATTCGTTCTGAACAACTCACGAACTGATAAAGTGAGCTCTGGTCAGTGGAAGAGAGAAATCTGGCCTGAAAAGGGTTACGGGTTCAGTGGTTTGTGGCAGCGTATAGATAGATGTCCCCCTCTTGTCAAGAGTTCCTATGTTGACAGTGGCAGCTGAAGCGGCCACCGCGATCCTTTGATCTCGTACTCTCAAAAGACAAACTGTACCACCCAAGAGCTGCTAGGGAACTGCGGGGCAGACTGTGGACCTTTTCCAGGAGAGATCCGAAAGGCCACGTTTGGCTGAGGGGGATATTGTGCACTATCGCTGCTTTCCTTTACTGATTCCTATTCATTTGTACGTCTCACCAACTGAGACCTGCAGGCTCTTGCAAAGGGTGAACAAAGCTCATGCTGTTGCATAGCTGTACGGGAATTCACTAGTATTCACAGAAGGCATGGGCTCTGATTTATGGGAATGATTGGAATACTCACT